GCTGTTTTCTATCTGAACCAGCCACTATAGGAGCAAAACACAGCGGTGGATGGGCTCACACCACGCCCCTTGACAGCGCTCCGCCTGACCGGGACGACACCAAATCAGGGTACAATATCGTCGTGTGGAACAGAGAGGGGGGAGGGTCGTACTTTTCGGCTGCGGAGGGGGAGTATTTGGTCGTTGTTGGGAGAGAGGGGTCGCATGTGGCTTTGACAAAAATGTGCTGCGTTAGGGGGAAATTTTTGTGTGATTTTTCTTGTTTCGTGTGTACTATTTACTCCCCTCCCCTCGCTCGACGGAAAATCTGTGGGTGAAAAACTGGAAAAGGAATTGGTAGGTAGGTGCTGGGGAAGGGGGGGGGGTAGTACCGACACCCTGATCCATGTGGGAGGTCGTACCAAGACCCTCCCTCGAGAGGGGGAGGTCGTACTGGCACCACCATTTCATACATCACGATGCTGTACCCTGTACCGAATGTATTTCACTATCCCAGGTGTATTTACGATTAGGAGTCCCTTCTCTGAAGGAGTTTTCATTCATTCATTTGGAAAATAAAAAAACTCACCTGTTATTGATGTCCAGCTGTAAAATCGCGTTCGAAAAATCGTTTGCTTCATCGTAACCTACGTCTAAAAGAATTACCCCTTTCCATCTCATTCAATCGCCCCTTAAACTGATTATTCATTACCTTCAGGAGTAAAGTCCTTGAGCTGCTCGAAGCCTGTGCTGGTTGACTCAGATTCCTGATACAAGAACTGTATAATTCAATACTACTGTATAATATTGATGCTTTATTACATTTACTTTACATTCCACAAAAGCATCACTATTTGAAGGCAGTGGGGTACATCATTATGGTCACCCCTCCAGAACGAGTCTAGAGGTGTCAAATGACACCAACTGAAGCAAAAAAAATAAAAGAAATGGTGAAAAGCCACGGAAATTGAGCACTTATTCGGCATGCTTTCGAGCGCTGAAGGGCCGCAACCCACGTTACGGAGCTGTGGAGGGCGTGGCCGCGTACTCCATTCGAATGTCGCAGCGACCGCACTTTTGGCAAGATATTGCTACAGGTTTCAAGCAGTTGTGATCAACGGCTTTGTGCAACTTAGGACCAGATGACAGTTCTCTCGAACGGAAATATTCCACGAGAAACGCATCTCACGCAGTATTCAAAGCAAGGAAGCAGCCACGCCCCCTCCATATGCGGGATAAGGAGTGCGGCTGCCATCATGTCAGCTTCGATTACGAGCAATATTCGCC